AGAACGAAAAAACTTTTCATATAAGATTTCTAGGTATTTATGAGACCGACAAAATGAGATCACACCTAAAAAGATCCGACTAATAGCAAAAATGTTATGGTCGAAAAACGAGGCCAAATGCAGATTCTGGCACTTGTTGAGAATTTGTAATTGCTTATTCCAAAACATCGAGTTTTCCGGTCATCACTACTAGTTTATTGAGCAATATACAGAGTTCGTTCAAAGAGCACTTAATAGCAAAATACACGTGTATACGACTCACGTACCATTCCAAAAGATGAATGTTATTTTTATGCGAAAAACAAAGGTTACGTTTTTTTCTTCTAAACAAATTCAAACATTTCGTATTTGTGAGTAATTGGACAAATGGTGTACCCATTTTATGCGTCCATGTTTTGAACAATTTGAATCAATAAAACCAGACAAGTATTTCGCAAACCAGTGGAACTTTCGTTTAAAATGATTAGACTATTGTTAGAATTTGTCCCAGACCTGCAAATGATGTCCATAGATTTGACCTTGACAGTGACCTTGAAGGTTACGGTCAAGGTCAGGTAATTTTTTTAAAGCGGTAAATCCTATTTCTCGTCAGGAAAATGGACAAAGCGAAACTCTATCGTCATTATTCGGAGAGCTGTTCAAGATGTTCCACCAAAGACCTGAACTATACTAAGTGACATATAAATCCGAACACCCAGTTTAAATGGTTTTATTTTAATAAAAGTTGGTGAATGTATTTATCTTACTGTAAATAACAAGTTAAAAAATTTTCAGCCTTATCAGTTGGACATTTTTTATACTGCTTTTTTTTAATTCACTAACGCTCTAATAATGAATATTTCAGCCGCAGTAAAGAGTCAACGTTGGCGGATTTTGGTTCTTGACATCCTTTACGATCGGTTACGATGCCTAGAGTACGGAGACCTGTACGATTTCGTCAACTTAGTGAGTTTGATAGGGGCCGTATAGTGGGACTTCGGGAAGCTGGACTTTCTTTTCGGACAATTGCAGTTAGAGTGCAAAGAAGTGTAGACACTGTGGTTAGGTGTTGTCAGCCATAGCTTCGAGAAGGCCGTACGCAAAGAGCAAGGGGGACCTATTGGCATGCGAAGTGTTTACCGACGAATGAGAAGTTTTCATACCGGCCACACTGGGTCCTCCCTTTAACTCGAGAACACCGACGTAATCGCCTTGAGTGGTGCAGACAACGGTGACTGTGGGATCAGGAATGGAACAGTATTGTCTTTAGTGACGAGTCTCGATTTTGCTTAGGCATGCACGATGGTCGTGCCTGGGTTAGAAGGCGACGTGGTGAAAGGAGGAATCCACAGTTTTTTGTTGAATGACATGTTCGTCACATTGTTGGAGTTATGGTTTGGGGTGCTACAGCTTATGGTTCCAGGTCACCTTTAATCTTCATCAGAGGTAAGTTCTAGAACCCCATCTTTTACCCTATCTTGACACCCTGGCAGATCCAACTTTCCAACAAGATAATGCCCGACCACATGTTGCAAGAGTAACAATAGACTTCTTTCAACATAATGATGTCACATTGTTACCATGGCCACCAAGATCTCCCGACTTATCCCCAATTGAGCACGTGTGGGATATGATGGGTAGGACATTGCTCAATTTGCAACGTCCTCCTCAGACTCTAGAAGCACTTCGAGAGGAGTTGGTGGTTGCCTGGAATGAGATACCACAGGAGGACATTGACCACCTGATCAGAAGCATGCCTAGGCGCGTTGGAGAATGCGTAGCACATCAGGGTGCATCGACACATTATTAAAGGTCAAAGGGCTTTAAAGCAGTGCAATCATTTTGAAATTTTTATCATTTACTTATTATGCTTCATTAATTACTTATACAAAATTTTATTAAAATAAATCCATTTAAACTGGGTGTTCGGATTTATATGTCACTTAGTATATACCAAACGACACACCTTCTGGTTTCTCCAGATTCCCTCTTTTGGAGTCCCCTGGATACCATGGCCTCTTCGACGTCTTCCTCCCAATTTCTTGGACGCGTATCACGCTTGCGACGCTCTTGGAATGTCCGTTACGGTATTCGTAACAGATATTCGTTACAGTATTCGTAACAAAATGCATTCGCCCATCTCTACGCCGCGTATATTTTTAACCGGCAGTTTATAGCCAACGGACATGTGTCTACGTATTTTTAAAACCGCCGGTTCTGGATTCTAACAGAGAACGCTCGATTTTTTAACACGTTGCTGTTTCGATTCTCGCCGCAAAAGATCCTATTTATTTTATGTCACGTTTTACCATTGGCTTACGATGAGAGCGGAGATTCAAAACAAATATTCAACCGTCTAAAAAACTATATGTTGACCTACGGAAGCATTAGTTTTCATCTAATGTAGAATAATATGCAAAAACATTGATGGAAAAGTTTTTATGATATATTTTTGGCAGTTTGGGTAGAGAGGTTAACGATTTTTCCAGAAGCACGCATCGTGAATTGCGTGTGTATCTTTAAAAGATGTACTTCTTACGGATTGGTGGTTTGAGGTAATGTCAGCGCCATCTAGTTGTTAAGCTTTGAACTGTTTTTGATTGTACGACAATAGCTTGTCGACAGTAGATTGATTCTATATTTTTGGAACAGAGCAAATAGTATATGTATAAGGTATTTTCTACAAATACAGCAATTTACCAATTCCTACGTTATAGTTTGTAAGCGGTTTTGCTACTTTTCTCCTAAAAATTTTGAACATTTTGAAAACTTTGAAAATTTAGAAAACTGAAAATTTTGAATATTTGAGAATTTTGAAGATCTTAAAAATCTAGGAAATTTTGTGAATTTTGAAAATCATGAAAATTTCGAAAATTTTGAAAATTTTGAAAACTGTAAATTTTAAAAAATTTGAGAATGACAATCTCAAAAATTTTGAAAACTGTTAAAACAGCATTATTAAAATTTTGAAAATTTTGAAAATTTCCAAAATTTTGAAAATTTCGAAAAAATTGAAATTTTCGAAAATTGTAAAAATTTTGCTTAGACTCTAACTTCCCGTCGCGAGCCATATATGCCCACTTTACGCCCAAGTTACCTAAAGAACTGTAATTTTGGCCTCACATAATCACACTCTAGTTTGTTTCCATATGTTCCACGACTTCTTCTCATTGTACCCTGGCTATGCGACGTTGCCGGTATGCATATTTCAAGCATCTGAAGACAGTGTTGCCGAACCAAAAAAGACGAAATCGGTAGACTCAAGGACAAAATCGGTGGAAGAAAAAAATCACGGCAGTTGCAAGATCAGCGGTGATTCAAGGACCTTTGCGTCATGGAGTGATGTTTATGGGAAAAATTATATTATTATTTTTACATCGGTATTTTGAGGCTATATTTTCCTTAAACAGAATATTGGCTTCTTTATTTCAACTGATACAATGAGCATACTGATCGCTCTTCAAACTCCTTTGTAACCATCCTTAAACTATGTACTTTCTCAATTCTTGATTATAAGATTGTGAATATTATTTGATTTACTCCTTGTGGAGTAAGGGATATACGAAAATAATCATAGGCATCCCAAATCTACGTTCCTCGTGTACTCATATGTATAAATAAATAAATAGCGATTATTGCCCAACAGTTAAGGAAACCATTTACAGGACAATCCTAAAAAAGGATAAATCAAACTAGCAAAAATAGAAAACACAAAAAGCAGATGATTCTGATCTAAAGGAAAAAGCGAACAAGAAAAAGACGCAGAAAACATTTTTCACTCAAGTGAGAAACATGTCACAAATTGTAATTCCTAGCTACCCCGAGAATGTTGTTCAAACTGTCAACATGTATATCACAATAATTAAATATGGCATTGAAAGTTTCATTACTTATATGGATGCTTTCAAAAACAAATCTGTGCGAGCCATGTCACAATAAAAGGTTTTAACGGTACGAGTTTGAATAGACAATAACAAACTTTCAGATATGCCCTACTCAGGATATGCACCGTAAACCATGAATTCTTAGAAACTTTCTCTAAACATGCTTAAAAGAATCAATGTAACAGTTGTAAATTGGGTTCCAAATTAACGATGCATGTTCCAATTTCGATCTAATGTATGCAGAATACAAAACCAACAGTGACTGTGGGCGGCTGAAGTTTTTGGTCCCAACTCTTTTTCGGTCAAAAATGTGCGGACGTGAGGACGTTTTTTTGCGGTAAATAAGGACCCATTTCGGTAAAAATGCTGAAAAATCGGTAGGATCGGCAACACTGTCGGCGGATCGAACTGTAGACAAATTTAATTATGACGTAACGTGGCAATCTAGATGCATTGTGGTCACAAATGTATCCTAGGCAGCTGGTTATCCCCGGTTTCACTTGGTAAGCAAACATAGCAAATTCCGAAACGACAACGGAATTGGAATGAGTACTGAATTCTGCATCGCTGGTGCTATAGAGGTTGCCGCAGTAATTTCGAGAGAAATTCTGCAGGAAACGTGGAGAATAATAAATTAATATCTCAGTTTCCTATTGTATGGAACAAATTGAAGTATCGAGGGATGCGAGACCTAAAATCGAGTAGCGTTTTTTATTGCCCGACTAACTCAGAAAAGGAGGTATGTTTTTCGCGCGTGGGTACGTTTGTATCTACGGCTTGATAGAATTTAAGTTAATAATGGGTGGGGCCTCGGTTGGCCGCGTTGGTCAGAATGTCGTGCTACTGATCAGCCGGCCGGCCGGGCCGCGAGTTCGAATCTCGCCTTCGCCATGGATGTTGTGACGTCGTGTGTTTGTCCATAATTAGAGAAATATAAGTAACACACATCTGTGGCAAATGGATAACTTCCAATGCCAATTATATGTTAAAAAAAAAAGTTAATAATGGCGTTAAGTAGATTGAATCTATACTTTCAAAGAAATGAGATGAGCCAAATCGTTTCAAAAGGGGAAATCGAATCGCGATCAGGTGGGTTCACTTAACGTATTTAAAAGAATTAAAAAATTTGTCTTGATTACGAAACTTTGCTTTATTTTGTAATCTAAGGTACAAACATACTGTAGAACCAAACAGTACGTAGTTAAGTAAAACTATCACAAAACTTAAATATAATATAAATTATATTAGCTATACATAATATACAATGTTTAGTGAGCTCTTTCTTCGACTTTAATTTTGAATCCGTCTCCTCGTTTTAAGATGATGTCCGCTTGTAACTTGAAATTCTCCTCCCTGTCGGTTGAAATCATTCTGAATTTGCGTAAGGCTCCTGCTAGCAGGACTTTCAGTTTCAGCATCGCATATTTCCTCCCTATCAAAATAAAATTTATTACAAACATTTAATTAAAGCCGGAGGTGTTCCTTGAATTTTGATGAGATTCAGTTATGAATTATGAATTCCGCGTGATGTAAACAATTCAAAATAGGATAGGAATTTTAGACGTTTTGAAAGTATTGAAAATGTAAAAAATTTAGAAATTTTGAAAATTCCGGTAAATTTTGAAAATGGAAATTCCGAAAATTGTGACAATTTCAAAAATTTCATAATTAAAATTTCGAAAAATTCCAACCTTCTGAATATTTTATTAACCATGAAAATTCAGAAACTTTCGGTGGTTGTAATTTTGAAAACTTTGGAAATTTCGAAATTTTTGGAAATTCCGGATATTTGTAAAGGCTTGAAATTGTTGAAAATTTCGGAAATGTTGAAGATTTTGATGATCTCAAGAATTTCAAAACTTTCAAAGCACTTAAAATCTTGGAAATTTTTGAAACTTTAAAATCCTGACATCTCAGAAAATATTAAAATCTTTGAAAATATATTTAAAATTCTGAGAATTGCGAAAATTCCGAAAAATTTTAGAATTAATAATATCTTAATAACCCTGATATTATGAAAATTTTATAAATCTTGAAAATTCCGGAGATTCGGAAAAACCTCAAAATGTTGAAGACTTCGAAAATATTGAATATTTCGAAAAAATTTAAAATCTTTGAAGCTTTTAAAGCTTTAAAAACGTAAATTTGGAAAATTTTGAAACCTTACAATTGCAAAATTTTAGAAAATAGCGAAATATAACTTCGAAAATTGTACGCTTGAAATTTTGAAGTTTTAAAATCCAGAATATTAAATATCCTGAAAATTCTGATAATTTCGGTGTTGTTGGAATTTTGAAAACTGAAAATTTAAAAAATATCGAAAATTTTGGAAATTCCGAAAATTTGGAAAAACTTGAAATTGTTGAAAATATCGAAAATGTTGAAGATTTCGAAGATTTTAAAAATTTCAAAACATTCAAAGCTTTGAAAATCTTGGAAATTTTGGAAATTTTGAAACTTTAAAATGTTGAAAATATTAAAATTTTTGAAAATATATTAAAAATTCTGGGAATTGCGAAAATTCCCAAACATTTTACAATTATAAATATCTTAATAACTCTGAAAATTTCGGAAACTGAAAATTTTGTAAATCTTGAAAATTCCGGAAATTCGGAAAAACCTCAAAATGTTGAAGATTTCGAAAAATTTAAAAATCTTTAGCCTTTAAAGCCTTCAAAGCTTTAAAAATGTTGTAAATTTTGAAAATTTTGAAACCTTACAATTGCAAAATTTTAGAAAATAACGAAATGTTTGAAAACTTCGAAAATTTTATGCTTTTAAAATTCTGAATATTTTAATAATCCTGAAAATTCTGAAAATTTAGGTATTATTGGAATTTTGAACAGTGAAAATTTTGGAAATTTCGAAAATCTTGGAAATTCCGGAAATTTGTAAAAACTTCAAAATGTTAAAGATTTCGAAAATGTTGATGATTTGGAAAAATTTTAGAGTCTTTAAGGCTTTTAAAGCTTCGAAAATCTTGTAAATTTTTGAAATTTTGAAACTTCAAGATTCCGAAATTTTAAAAAATACTAAAATATAATATTTAAAATTCTGAGAATTGCGAAAAGTTTTAAAATTCTGAATATTTTAATAACTATGAAAATTCTGAAAATTTAGGTGTTTTTGGAATTTTGAGAAGTGAAAATTTTGGAAATTTCGAAAATCTTGGTAATTCCGGAAATTTTGACAAACTTGGGATTTTAAAAATTTTGAAAATTCCGGAAAATTGGAAAAACTTCAAAATGTTGAAGATTTCGAAAATGTTGATTATTTTGAAAAATTTTAGAAAATACTAAAATATAATATGCAAAATTCTGAGAATTGCGAAAAGTTTTAAAATTCTGAATATTTAAATAACCCTGAAAATTCTGAATATTTCGGTGTTTCTGGAATGTTGGAAAGTGACATTTTTTAAAATTTCCAAAATCTCGGAAATTTCGGAACTTTTGGATAACTTGAAGATTTTAGAAATTTCCAAAACTCTAGACTTGAAAAACCCTGAAAATTTTGAAACTTCAAAATTTTTAATTTTTTGAAAATATCGGAATCTTTGAGAATTTTGAAAATTCTAAAATATTTGAAAATTACAGATTAAAAATTCTTAATGTTTCAAAATTTTAAAAACGAAAATTTTTAAAATCTTGAAAATTTTGAATATTTCGAAAATTCTGAATATCAAAATTTGTTTAAATTCTGCAGATCTTGAAAACTTGAAAATTTTGAAGATTTTGAAAATCTTAAAATTTTTAAAATTTAGAAAATTTTGATATTGAGCATTTTGAGAATTGCGAATCTTTTTATAATTTTCTAAATCCACCGCCCTCCAATTTTCACTTCAGATTCACTTTCAGAGGCAAAACTACATAGAAAAAACATAGTAATTCCCCAAACACACGCCACTTCTGTGATTTTGTGGCTCTGTGTAATCGTTCCAAAAGTACTCATAACATTTTTTTACTTACCTACACAACTCCTTGGACCGGCGCTGAAAGGTATGTAAGCATAGTACGGTCTGTCTTGACACCTCTCAGGCAAGAAATTGTCAGGATCGAACTTCAGAGGATTTGGATAGTACTTCTCATTCCTGTGTACAATGAACTGTCCTATTACTATGGTTGTACCAGCGGGAATTGTATAGTCTCCAGAAGCTGAAAGAAATTACAAGTAAAATGCAAAAGTAATGTTATCAGTAGTATAGATTTCTCGAATTGTATTGCAAATTAACTGCTTACCTAGCTTAACATCCTCATTGACCTTCCTGGCAATAATCGGTACTGGCGGGTACAACCTGAGTGCTTCCATGATCACCCTCTCCAAATACTTCATTTGCAACGTATCTGAAAAGGTGATCGGCCTGTTCATGTCGTCTTGGAAAATCTCCTTCAATTCGGTGTACACTTTGTCTTGGATATCTTGATGGATGCCTAACAAGCACAGAACGAAACTAGACGCGGCCGCTGTTGTATCGTGTCCCTGAAAAAATGGAAAAGTGTAAATTTAACACAATCCGCGATCGAAGCGAAGCGTCTGTCCTGTACCTCAAACATGATCGTATCTACTTCTTCCTTGATCTCTTCGTCTGACAGCGCGTTTCCTTTCTGTTGACTTGCTTCAATCATGAAGTCTAAAAACGCCAATCGTTTCTTCTCGCCTAAAAAATATCAAGTTTCTTCAAAAGCCACAACTTAAGAAAGATCAAAGGCAAATAGTTTTGACAAGAAAAGACGGACAAGAAGAATAAGAGATGTAACCAAAAATATGGCGTCCACAAAACATCTGATGGTCTACGTGTAGTGATAAAAATCGTAGAAGATCTCATAGTCACACTTGAAATAGATGGAGAGATGCGAAAATTTCGATTTCCTAATAACAAATGTAAATATTTTATAGTTGAAAAAACTGCTGTGATTTAAGTCATTTCCGAGGCGATTTTTTTTCATTCTACTTTAGCTTTGATGAATCACTAGACTCTTTCATTTTGGCTTATTTATAATATACAGGGTGTTTCAGTTTATTGTTGCATAACTTTAAGATTCGATAGAACTTTTAAAATTAATGCGTAAAGTCTATATAAACATGGGTCGAAAAATGCGTGGCTTCCGAAATACAGGGTGTTTAAATTTACTTTCTAAAATAGTTTTTTTTAAATATTTCGAACAATATTTGATGTATAACAGTGAAAATTGGTATACAAGGAGAGCTTTTTTATGCATAAAAGTGCGAAGAATCAGTTTTTTTATTCAAAAAGCAAAAAATTGCACTAAGAAAAAATTTTCGGTCATTTTAATACACTACCGGTACAGTAGAGAGCGCCCTCTAGCGGCTACAGTAAGTATGCCCATGGTTCGTTTTGTCGTACCAAAATTCCCTTGCATACCAATTTTCACTGTTATACATCAAATATTGTTCGAAATATTTAAAAAAAACTATTTTAGAAAGTAAATTTAAACACCCTGTATTTCGGAAGCCACGCATTTTTCGACCCATCTTTATATAGACCTTATGCATTAATTTTAAAAGTTCTATCGAATCTTAAAGTAATGCAACAATAAATTGAAACACCCTGTATATCAATATCAAATTAAAAAATATTTAATAGATATTTTATAAAATATAAAATGAACCAAACAGTGTACCTAAAAACAAAGATTTCGGTTTCAACAGGGAATACGTTAATCGCATATTTTGAAAACGGGATGATAAGGGTTAATGAGGACACAAATTTTCGAAAAGTGAGGTGAAATAGTACACTCGAAGACCAATCAATGACCTAGCCTTCTCGTGCTTAGATTTTGCACGTACCAACATCGTTTTCGTCATTCTCATCCAAGTCGTCTCTGATATAGTTGGTCATTATATTTTCTTCAAGCAAACCTTGATTTTCGTTGTACTTGCTACTGCTTACAGCTTGCTCGTACAGACTTACTTCTCCCTTGTTCTGCCTAGTGAAGAAGTTAGCCTTTTTCCTTTTAATGACCTGAAAGGAAGATACATTCATTTTTTTAAACTGGTTTCAAAGCGTGGGTTTTTTATCTTGTCAGGTAAATTTGAAGTATTTAATTTTATATGAGACAAATATATGTTATATATATATATATATATATATATCCCAACGTAAGTGTGGATACAGAAATCTTCCATTCGAAATGTTAAAGGTTTCAAAATTGTAAACATTTTCGATTTAAAATTATTTTTTTTCCAAATTTAAAAAATTTTCTGTTTTCAAGTTTGTAAAAATTCTCAGAATTTCCAAGTTTCAATATTTTCGGATCTTAAACATATTTTCCAATATTTTCAAAATGTTCAATATTTTAAAAAATTTCAAAATTTCCATATTTTTCAAGTTTTTCCAATTTTTCCCAATTTTCCAAACTTTACAAATTTAACAAATTCATCAATTTTTTCCAGTTTTCAGAATTTTACAAATCTTACAAATCCTCCAAATTTTCAAAATTTTCAATATTTCCAGTTCTTTTTCAAATTTTTCAAAATTAAAAAATGTCCAGTTTTCAAAATGTTCTGTTTTCAAGTTTTTAAAAATTTTCAGATTTTTCGGATCTTGAAAAATGTTCCAATATTTTCAAAACGTTCAATATTTTCAAAATTTCCAAATTTTCTAAATTTTAAAAACTACAAAATTTCCCGATATTTTCAAAATATTCCAAATTTTCCAAATTCACCAAATTTTCCAAACTTTCTAAATTCTCCAAATTTTCTATATTTTCAAAATCTTAGGATTTTTTTTAAAACACATGAAATAAGAAAATCTCAACTCTAGGTGTGGCTCCAAGAATTTTTGGATCTTAAAAATATTTTCCAATATTTTCAAAATGTTCAATACTTTCAAAATTTTCTAAATTTCCATATTTTTCAAGTTTTTCCAATTTTTCCCAATTTTCCAAACTTTACAAATTCAACAAATTCATCAATTTTTTCCAGTTTTCAGAATTTTACAAATCCTCCAAATTTTCAATATTTTCAGTTCTTTTTCAAATTTTTCAAAATTAAAAAATGTCCAGTTTTCAAAATGTTCTGTTTTCAAGTTTTTAAAAATTTTCAGATTTTTCGGATCTTGAAAAATGTTCCAATATTTTCAAAACGTTCAATATTTTCCATATTTTCCAAATTTTCCAAATTTTTCAAAATCTTACAGCTTTCAAAAATTTCTAAAATCTCCAAAATTTCCCGATATTTTCAAAATATTCCAAATTTTCCAAATTCACCAAATTTTCCAAACTTTCTAAATTCTCCAAATTTTCAAAATTTTCTATATTTTCAAAATCTTCTGACTTTTTTTAAAACACATGAAATAAGAAAATCTCGACTCTAAGTGAGGCTCCAAGAATTTTTGGATCTTAAAAATATTTCCCAATATTTTCAAAATGTTCAATATTTTCAAAATTTTCTAAATTTCCATATTTTTCAAGTTTTTTCAATTTTTCCCTATTTTCCAAATTCTACAAATCTATCAATTTTTTCCAGTTTACAGAATTTTACAAATTTTACAAGTTCTCCAAATTTTCAAAATTTTCAAAACTTTAAAAATTTTCATTTTCTTTTTTCAAATTTTCCAAAATTAAATAATGTCCAGTTTGCAAAATGTTCTGTTTTCAAGTTTTTATGAATTTTCAGAATTTTCGGATATTGAAAAATGTTCCAATATTTTCAAAATGTTCAATATTTTCAAAATTTCCAAATTTTCTAAATTTTCAAAATTTATAAAATTTTCCATATTTTCCAAGTTTTCCAAATTTTCCCAAAGTTTACAAATTTTCCAAATTTTTCAAATTTTCCAAATTTACCAAATTTTACAAATTTTACAAACTTTCTGAATTCTCCAAATTTTCAAAATTGTCTATATTTTCAAAATCTTAGGAATTTTTTTTTAAACAAATGAAATAAGAAAATCTCAACTCCAAGTGTGGCTCCAAGAATATTGGAAGTTACCAACTTTGTATCTGATACTCGACTAATTTCCAACTTCTGATTAAAAAAAAGAGATGCTTCTGTAATTTCGTAGATGTTTAGAATAGGAAGAAAATTGTTATTGTAACGATCACCGTAAATAAAAAGTTTTGAACAAATAATTCTAAATCTGTTTATGTAATTTAAGAAAACTTAAGCCTTACCTGTCTGGTTAAAGTGTGGATAAGATTGAGTAAAGATACTTGTTCGCTGGCCATCTTAGTAAGCTTAAAAAGAAAATCGGGTCTGAGCCAAAGCTTGTAGTGCCTTAAATGGAGGATGTTGCACATGCTGAAAAAATATAATATTTGGTACTTCTACTCCATAATCTAAGTACTGCAAAATGGTAAACTTACTTCATAACAGCCATTGCGTAGTCAAAGCCTGTGTTATCTTCTTCGGTTTTTCTAACACCCATCGCAGTTTCTGAAAAAACGATTACAACCTTATCAAAAAACAGCATCAGCTTTGCTTTTTATATACATCTTATATTGCACACGTTTCATATGTACTCAGAAAGTGCAATACGTCATGCCATTATCGACCATTTGGCAAGAAGGCACACCAAAATGAAAAGGAGTTTCACGCCAATAGCGAATACCAAAAATCGAAGCTCTTGATTATAAGTACTCTTGATGCCGTCTTGAGACTAAACATTTATAAAATAAAGTATATTTTAAAAAAACTAAAAAAATTTCGAAACTTTCAAGCAGCCTTTTATTAATTACGCAACTGTTAATCTAATTCATATTTTGTACAGTCAATGTCTTTTTTTATATTCACAGAAAAGTGCTATCTCATAAAGTATTTCCTCAAATAATAAAATTTAATATTTTCGTAAATTTGAAAAAAATGAAAATTTTGGAAAAATGTTACGTAGACACAAATTAAGTAAATTCACATTTATTGTCAAAGAGCGAAGCTCTTGATTATAAGTACTCTTGTTGCCGTTTTGAGACTAAACATTTGTAAAATAAATTATATTTTAAAAAAAACTAAAAAGAAAACGCTCTAATAGCAAATCGAACTGGAAACTAGAAAATAAATTTCGAAACTTTCAAGCAGCATTTTATTAATTACGCAACTGTTAATCTAATTCATATTTCTTACAGTCAATGTCTTTTTTTAGATTCACAGAAAAGTGCTATCCCATAAAGTATTTCCTCAAATAATAAAATTTAATATTTTCGTAAATTTGAAAAAAACGAAAATTTTGGAAAAATGTTACGTAGACACAAATTAAGTAAATTCAGATTTATCGTCAAATAGCTAAGCTCTTGATTATAAGTACTCTTGTTGCCGTCTTGAGACTAAACTTTCATAAAGTAAATTATATTTAAAAAAAACTAAAAAAAAAACGCTTTAATAGCAAATCGAACTGAAAACTAGAAAATAAATTTCGAAACTTTCAAGCAGCATTTTATTAATTACGCAACTGTTAATCTAATTCATATTTCGTACAGTCAATGTCTTTTTTTATATTCACAGAAAAGTGCTATCTCATAAAATATTTCCTCAAATAATAAAATTTAATATTTTAGTAAATTTGAAAAAAATGAAAATTTTGGAAAAATGTTACGTAGACACAAATTAAGTAAATTCAGATTTATTGTCAAATAGCGAAGCTCTTGATTATAAGTACTCTTGTTGCCGTCTTGAGACTAAACATTCATAAAATAAATTATATTTTAAAAAAACTAAAAAAGCGCTTTAATAGCAAATCGAACTGAAAACTAGAAAATAAACTTCGAAACTTTCAAGCAGCCTTTTATTAACTACCTAAATACGCAACTGTTAGTCTAATTCATATTTCTTCCAGCCAATGTCTTTTTTCATATTCACAGAAAAGTGCTATCTAATAAAGTATTTCCTCAAAATAAATAAAATTTAGACCTTTCAACTTTTGTTCTTTTTCAAACAGTTTTCACCAGTGGCGCAGTAAGTAAAAGTCACAGACTGTCTCTCACCTAAAAGAGTGTCAACAGTCGCGGCGCTCATATAGTCGTGAACGTCAAATTCTTCACCCAAATGCTTCTTGAACTGATTGATTAGGTTGATGGCGTTTTTGTTGAACACTGGAACAAACGACTTGAGAATGGCCGTGTGGAACGTCGGCGCGATCATTTTTCTGTGAGATCTCCATTTGTCTCCTGAAAAAAAATATTCGTTTCCGTTTCGGAAGCCAATAAACGTAGCCAAAAGTTTCGCATAATCGATATAACATGCTTTCGAAAAATCGACTTACCTTTGCTGATCAAAAGCCCATCTCCAAGCCATGGCTCGAACAACCTGTACTCCGGCGACTTTTCCAGATGTACGTGACTTCCCAAAATAATCTAACAATGAATTAATCATTAGCACAATTTTACAGACAATGTCTCGATGCAAATTAATATCCATACATCAAATAATGCACGGATGACGTAAATACTGTTATTTTAAAATCACGCACCGAACGAGTTGAACTTGTGCCGTGACCTCTTCAACAAAACTTCCTGTATCGGCGTAGTTTGATCCTTTTACGTTCGAACTTATAACCGTTGCAGACAGAAGCTTATACAGGGTGTAAACATTATGGTAATCATTATACAATAGCGCGTCGGTCATTATCGAACCGGCAATCGATCGCAAACGGTGACAGTGGTTAGTATGTTGTTTTGTTTTTGTTCTCGTACGTCGTCGTGTTTATTTACAATGTTCTCGAATCAAGAGTTCGCCGACATGAGGTGACGCTCATCAGAATTCAAACCAAACGAATGTACTTTTAAGCGAGACGGGATATTAAATTTCCATAATACTCACACGTGGGCCCAAGAAAATCCTCATACCATTCGTAAAGGTCATCAATCGATCGCAAACGGTAACAGTGGTTAGTATGTTGCTGGGCGGGTATTCTTGACGATCAGGTAATTGGCCCTTTCGAGTTACCACCAAAGTTGTCAGGTCAAGTATACCTTAGCTTTCTAGCCAATAACCTACCAGAACTTTTGGAATAGACCTTAGACAACGTGCCATTACAACGGAGACAGAATTCGTGGTTTCTTCATGACGGGGCACACATTTTTAGACGCGTCATTCAGTATTTGAAAGAACATTATCTAAATCGCTGGATCGGTCGAAATGCTCATGATCCTAGAAAATAGCCAGCAAGATCTCCTGACCTCAATCCGATGGATTTCTGGTATACATTTTTTTTAATGCGGCTGAAATAATAAATGGACAACTTCGAGGAGCTAGTGTAAGAAGAAACTGGGTTCATCGACGACATTTCGAACACCTTCTTTAAATACAAACAAAGTGCAGTGTGGGTTTTAGAAAGAAAAACAATGTATGTATCAAAATTGTGTTCCCTATGTATAAGTGGATTTTTATAATACGTTCAATAAACTTTCACGCACCAGGTGAAACTCTGAGGCAGCGAGTGGTATGTCCGTTTTTTTAATTGTTTGCGTTTTACGAGTACATTATCAAATAATGAAATAATACCTAAGAGTCGTGACGAAATGGACGAGAGTTCGTTTGAACGATGGTTTGAAGAAGCGCCCCCAAAGCTGGACGACAATGCCGTCATTCTACATGATAATGCTGCATACCACACTAGAAAACTAGACAAAATTCCCACAATGTCCACAAGAAAGGCAGAAATTAAACAATGACTCCTATCAAAAGACATTAGTTTCAATGGAAATATGGTTAAAGCATAACTTATCTATGTAGTCAGACAATAGAACATTCAAATTTTCTGACGTGAAAAATTTGTTTTATCGATCTGTTATCAGAGTGACAGCAAACCATTGGAAAGACTGCATCCGTCTCGTTCAAGAGACAATTGAAAGAAAGATCTGGGATCTGGAAAATGTGATCGATATACAAATCGAACCTGTAATAATTAATATTAACCATTCGCGCGAAAAGTATGTGCGCTTCTTCCTATAAAAACGAACATTTATCTTGTTAGATTATTCCAAGACCATTGAGAAAAATCCGGACCTGCACAATCTCGCTTTTGGGCGTAAATTGACTACGAATGGGCTATAGACTTCTTCTCTCCTGTTCACCGGCAGAGATTCTGAATTCCTGTTAGTCCGCTGCGCGATCAACTTGAACATCGTACGTACAAACGAAAGTTATTTAATAATTTACCTCGATATCTTCCGGGGCGCACAGGCAAACAACAAGCTTTGGTCCCAGCCACACCCTGACGACGTCACTCTTCAGTTTCTTGTACGTTCCATAACAGAACGTGAACATATCTGAAAAAAACGGTTACCATATGAAATGCTCCAAATATCAGTTCAACTAATACGAGCCGCTTCCCATTTCAGTTGGCCCAACTATTGAAATCTTAGTTTTTTTCTTATCAAACACAAATAATAAAAATGTAGCAGGGTAGGTTTAAAATATTAACAATGAATATTTGGATAATATACTAAGTGACATATAAATCCGAACACCCAGTTTAAATGGTTTCATTTTAATAAAATTTTGTATGTGTGGCATCTCATTCCAGGCAACCACCAACCCCTCTCGAAGTGCCTCTAGAGTCTGAGGAGGACGTTGCAAATTGAGCAATCTTCTACCCATCATATCCCACACGTGCTCAGTTGGGGATAAGTCGGGAGATCTTGGTGGCCATGGTAACAACGTGACATCACTATGTTGAAAGAAGTCTATTGTGACTCTTGCAACATATGGTCGGGCATTATCTTGTTGGAAAGTTGGATCTGCCAGGGTGTCAAGGGTAAAAGGTGGGGTTCTAGAACTTCGTGGATATAACGCTGCGCGTTCATGTTACCTCTGATGAAGATTAAAGGTGACCTGGAACCATAAGCTATAGCACCCCAAACCATAACTCCAACAGTGTGATGAACGTGTCTTTCAACAAAAAACTGTGGATTCCTCCTTTCACCACGTCGCCTTCTAACCCTGGCACGACCATCGTGCATGCCTAAACAAAATCGAGACTCGTCACTAAAGACAATACTGTTCCATTCCTGATCCCAGAGTGACCGTTGTCTGCACCACTCAAGGCGATTTCGTCGGTGTTCTCGAGTTAAAGGGAGGACCCAGTGTGGCCGGTATGAAAACAAGCCAAAACGGTAAACACTTCGCATGCCAATAGGTCTTCCATGTTCTGCAAACCATTCATTTGCACTGGACCTGGTAGTGGAGAAACGGTCCCTTAAGTCCAACAATCTTAGGCGGCGATCTTCACGGTCTGTTGTTCTACGGCGGCGTCCAGTGCCCCTTGCTCTTTGCGTACGGCCTTCTCGAAGCCATGCCTGACCACACCTAACCACAGTGTCTACACTTCTTTGCACTCTAACTGCAATTACCCGAAAAGAAAGTCCAGCTTCCCGAAGTCCCACTATACGGCCCCTATCAAACTCACTAAGTTGACGAAATCGTACAGGTCTCCGTACTCTAGGCATCGTAACCGATCGTAAAGGATGTCAAGAACCAAAATCCGCCAACGTTGATTCTTTACTGCGGCTGAAATATTCATTTTTAGAGCGTTAGTGAATTAAAAAAAAGCAGTATAAAAACCGGAATGTCCAACTGATAAGGCTGAACATTTTTTAACTTGTTATTTACAGTAAGATAAATACATTCACCAACTTTTATTAAAATAAAACCATTTATAAAGGCATATTTTGGTACAAATCTTGAAGTGGGCCAATTGAAGTGGGAACGCTCTCGTACAACCGACTCTTATAAACATTGAACTGTTTTGGACAGTTTCAAAATTTGTCGAAAGATTTCAATCACTTCTTGTCTTACCTTCTTCCTCTTTGCTCTGTGCGATCTTTCTTTCTTTTATTTCCTCCACTCCAAACATGGTACAGGTTTTAAGGTTACAAGACCCCGCAGACTTACAAACCGATACTTGACATAAAATCTAACCGCTCTAATAACCAATAACTTGATTACTCGGTGAAGCCCAAACTTTCAGATTTGACGTAGTTTAACTTCTATATCCAATACACGTAAACCTTAGCCAAGACGGTAATTCAAACGAAGCTATTTACCTGTTGGAGACCTGCCTAGTGCGAGATAGGCATTGCCCAATATGGGTATTGCAAAAGGTCCTGGCATTTTGTTTCCCAGTCGCACATATCGCAAGCTTTGGAACCAGAAATGGTAAAGGACTAGAAGAGCTCCTATTCCAACTAGGTATATCGTCAGGGAGTTCTCCACATAGGAGGGCTGCTCCACATGTACCTAGAAAAAGATGTAACCATTACATTTTTAGAAAATACAAAAGTACCGACTGCGGTAACTGAAAAGAATCCATTTTAAGTGCACTATCAATAAAAATCTAATACAGTGGACCCTTTCTAATCCGGCGCCCCCTGTAATCCGACATCTCTTTGAATATGTATTACATACATACGTATTTGATAATCTTCGCTAATGTAGATAACGCAGGTTTGAACAGGTTACAACTTGTACGCGCCACCGCTATCGTGCTCGACGCGTAAGCATTGTTTTACTTAGTTTGAATTTGACTACTGGTGATAGCGGTACGGCCTAGCGTGAGTTCATTGTTTACCTATTTATTCATTGTGTATTAAGTATAGTATCTAGTAATGTCATCACAAACTCAGAAGCGAAAGCACAAAACATTGACAATTAAAGGAAAATGTGATATTTTATACCGCTTAAATCGCAATCAAACGTTCAGTAGTTTAACAAGTGAATACGGCGTAAGCCGATCTACAATTTATGACATTAATTTCAGGACCCATGTTGGCCATGAAAGCTAAGTTTTTTTATAAGGAAATAACAAAAAAAGATGATTTTGTGGCCAGCAAAGGATGGCTAGAACGTTTTAAAAGTCGTCATGGCATACGTTTAATGACTATTACAGGTGAGAAACTTTCTAACGATGCCACCTGCATAGAGCCCTTTAAATAAAGATTTTTGCAAAAGGTAAACGATTTAAATCTTGACCTGTCACAGGTGCACAATGCAAACGAATCAGGGCTTTTTTGGCGTGTGATGCCTAACAAAACTTTCTTTTCTTGTAACGAAAAATCCGTATCTGGACGAAAAGTAAGTAAAGCGCGTGTAACCATACTACCATGTGCTACAGCTGCGGGCAAACACGCGCTTAAGATGATGGTCATTGGGAAATCTAATAAACCACGGGCATTCAAAAACATTGATTTACCTGTACACAATTACGGACAAAAAAGTGCATGGATGACAAAAGACCTCTTCAAATAGTGGTTTGATGAATGCTTCGTACATGAAGTTAGAAAATGGTTAAAAGATCATAATTTTCCTCAAAAAGCGTTGTTGCTTCTTGATAACGCTCCCAGTCATCCGTCTGAAGAAGAACTAACAACTGAGGATAAATGCATCACTGCGATGTTTCTTCCGCCAAATTGCACTGCACTGATTCGACCAAAGGACCAGAATATCATTCGGTTTGTCAAGCAAGACTATAAGAAAAACCTACTTCTGAGAGCCGTATCAAAAGACCAACCAATAGAAGAAACTTTAAAAGAATTTAATATGAAAGACTTGGTTTTTGCTCTTTGTCAGTCGTGGAATGCGTTACCATCATCAACTATTAAATCGTCTTGGAAAAAGTTATGGCCAGATACAGTCATCACTCCTAGCAACGTTCCACAAATCAGTGTTACTTCGGAAGTTATAGAACAAACTGCTACTGTAACACAGATAAGTCCGGAAAATTTGGAAATCTGGTGCCGTGGAATGCATAAAGAGGAAAATGTTTTTCATGAAATGTCTCACGAAGATATTATAAAAGAGGTCTCTAATTATACAACAAACAATCAGGAAAATAACGACGACGTGATTGCAACTGCTCCACAAGTCACAGCACAAGACGCAATTAACGCCTTTGAGCTATGTTCACAATGGGCTGAAGAGAATGGTACATCCTACAACGAACTTTTACTTTTGAGAAGATTGAGGGACAAAGCTCTGATCTCGCGTTATAACAACCTTAAACAAAAATAAATTGATGAATATTTCCAAGCGTCATAATTTGATAAATTCATTAATGCTTTTGATTAATAATTCTTGATTATTTTGGTACATATGTATGTGCATTTATGCTTAATTTTATAATAAAACGTAAGCTCTCTATTGTTATTTAATTTACTAAATTCGACATACATAAACTATGTATGATTTGTACTTCAAAATACATACATATACATAACATATATAATCTTACCATTGGATATGTAATTTGTCGGATTACAAGGTACTCTTTTATAAAAAATTCCGGACTATAGTGGGTCTTAGGCAGTGCTCTATAATCCAACAAATTCGATAGTCCGACACTGTCCTGCATAATGTTTGTCGGATTACCGGAGAACCACTGTATTTACTAAGGGTTCGCACCACATCGCTATGTCAACTTTAAAGTTTTATCATTGCCAGATTTTAAGTATTTAAATCAAAAAGCTTTGTTTTAGAAAATATGTCATAATTCTTTATATCGTCTAGTATTTAACTGGTGCAATGGTATCTCTATTAACTGTGACCGTATCTTATTTTCTCTGTCGGCATTAACATTTTCCTTATTTTTATTCTTCTTCCATTTTTTTAACAAAACTGTTTGCTTGTTCTCGATTTCCGCATCTCGTCACTTACTTTGCCAAAACTGCTATATTTTTTCCGTAAATTTTATTCTAGCATCTTGGAAATGTATTCTTTATTTTCACATTATTTATACTTTTCCAGATGCATTCACTTTGTACTGTAATTTTGTGGCCCTGGTTCGTATGAAAAGCAGCTTTAGCTGACTTCCGTTATGCTAAATATACTAAGTGACATATAAATCCGAACACCCAGTTTAAATGGTTTTATTTTAATAAAAATTGGTGAATGTATTTATCTTACTGTAAATAACAAGTGAAAAAATTTTCAGCCTTATCAGTTGGACATTCCGGTTTTTATGCTGCTTTTTTTTAATTCACTAACGCTCTAAAAATGAATATTTCAGCCGCAGTAAAGAATCAACGTTGGCGAATTTTGGTTCTTGACATCCTTTACGATCGGTTACGATGCCTAGAGTACGGAGACCTGTACGATTTCGTCAACTTAGTGAGTTTGATAGGGGCCGTATAGTGGGACTTCGGGAAGCTGGACTTTCTTTTCGGGCAATTGCAGTTAGAGTGCAAAGAAGTGTAGACACTGTGGTTAGGTGTTTCGAGAAGGCCGTACGCAAAGAGCAAGGGGCACTGGACGCCGCCGTAGAACAACAGACCGTGAAGATCGCCGCCTAAGATTATTGGCCTTAAGGGACCGTTTCTCCACTACCAGGTCCATTGCAAATGAATGGTTTGCAGAACGCGGAGGACCTATTGGCATGCGAAGTGTTTACCGACGAATGAGAAGTTTTGGCTTGTTTTCATACCGGCCACACTGGGTCCTCCCTTTAACTCGAGAACACCGACGTAATCGCCTTGAGTGGTGCAGACAACGGTCACTCTGGGATCAGGAATGGAACAGTATTGTCTTTAGTGACAAGTCTCGATTTTGTTTAGGCATGCACGATGGTCGTGCCAGGGTTAGAAGGCGACGTGGTGAAAGGAGGAATCCACAGTTTTTTGTTGAAAGACATGTTCATCACGCTGTTGGAGTTATGGTTTGGGGTGCTATAGCTTATGGTTCCAGGTCACCTTTAATATTCATCAGAGGTAACATGAACGCGCAGCGTTATATCCACGAAGTTCTAGAACCCCATCTTGACACCCTGGCAGATCCAACTTTCCAACAAGATAATGCCGGACCACATGTTGCAAGCATCACAATAGACTTCTTTCAACATAATGATGTCACATTGTTAGCATGGCCACCAAGATCTCCCGACTTATCCCCAATTGAGCACGTGTGGGATATGATGGGTAGGAGATTGCTCAATTTGCAACGTCCTCCTCAGACTCTAGAAGCACTTCGAGAGGAGTTGGTGGCTGCCTGGAATGAGATACCACAGGAGGACATTGAGCACCTGATCAGAAGCATGCCTAGGCGCGTTGGAGAATGCGTAGCACATCAGGGTGCATCCACACATTATAAAAGGTCAAAGGGCTTTAAAACACGTTAAACGCCATGGCGGTCCCATGGGACCGCTTAACAACGGGCCTATCACGCCATGGCGGTCCATATGGACCGCTTCGTATGCAATTTATTTCCGCGGTAACTACAGCCAGAGGTCCATATTTAAATTCATTTTAGCGATAGATATGGACCGATGTGCTTTGTATGGATTATACCTATATCCCAACTTTTTGGTGTATTTTTGTTTTAAATAGATTTAATCATTTTTTTTATTCATATCATTTATTTCCTACTAAACCTACACAATGACTTTGACAGAAACAAACAAGGTTCCAGTGAAAATGCATATATATAAAATAAGTTATGATATAGGGATACAAAATATAAGATAATTTCATTTATTTATGACTTGTTCCGAAACAGTCAAAGCAAAAGTGGAGACTTCCTTCAAAACTGTCGTAATATGTAGTAACTTTTGGAATTTTATTTTTTGGTATTCCACCCCTTATTTTTTTATTATGACATCATTTACAATACCGTCTGACTTCATGTGATTTTACATCCTTTTTTTAGTACATTTCGTTCCCGTCTTGTGTCATCTTTTGACGTAGATGGTAGATTAGAAACATTATTTGTTGGAAACATGACTTTGGCGCTTTGGCCTGATGGACATTTTTCTAACATTTGGCTTGGCGCTTAACGTGTTAAAGCAGTGCAATCATTTTGAAATTTTTATCATTTACTTATTATGCTTCATTAAGTACTCGTACAAAATTTTATTAAAATAAAACCATTTAAACTGGGTGTTCGGATTTATATGTCACTTAGTATATTATTTCAATGACTGTTCAAAATGTTGCGCGTTACGGGGGAAACTACCAACGTAAACAGAAATTCGGCAACAACCAAATAACAACCCGAATATTCTCCGCATCCTTTTCATCAACACAAATATCCTGGGCGAACTGTATACATAGATTGTTAAACCTGTTTAGTTATTTGTTGTTAAGGGTAAGAACGAATTTAATTCGCTGTCAGTTAACTTTGTGACCATCTTGACACATTGAACATTGATTTATTTCCAAAATGGCTTACACAATAGTGGAAATGCTTCCAATTTGTGGTGCCCAAAGCGCCAGACATCCGGGAAAGGAAGATAACTTCGCATAGCTATGTTTTGGACCTTGCTAGTAAATTACTGAATCTGTTGCAAATAAAAAACGTGATCATGATGATATCTCACAACATAGTTCTGAAAATGTATGTCAGGAATTTGTATATCGTCGCCAATAACAGGCAATATTTTGAATACCTATTGAAATAAAAAGTGATATTTTCTTGTGTTATGACGTATCTCGGCGTTGTTTCTTTCAATCAGTGGTCGGAGGATTCCAAAGGACACCCTGTATATAAAGCTAATGAAGAGGTACAACTTCAAAAAATGACTTACCACGTGTGCCTGCGACATGTTGGACGCGGCAGCTAAAGCGATACTGACTCGATATCGATCAGGTAGTCAGTTTGCAAATGTTGATTTATAATTCACTATTGTTAATGGAAATGTTCCAATTTCCTTCAACCTGATTGATCACCACATAGGTGGTAGTGGGGGGAGTTTCGTGGACATTCCCATGACTTTTGTTTCCAGTAATTGGCAATTTAATACCTCTGACCTGTGATACAGGGTGTGGAAGAGAGGATGGACGGTAACATAAAACATTTAATTTTTACCCGAAAACGAATTTATTGATGGAATCAGGTTCACAAGGAAATAGCATTTGAGACAGTCAAGTGTGGAAAATCTCATCAGGCATGTGGCGGCCGAAATCGTTGATGCATTGCTGGAGGCGTTCTTGGATGTTCGCGTAGACTCTCTCCAACATCGCTCTCTCAACTTGGGCGACTTCCACGCGAATTAATGATGTCACATTGTTACAATGGCCACCAAAATCTCCCGACTTATCCCCAATTGAGCACGTGTGGGATATGATGGGTAGGAGATTGCTCAATTTGCAACGTCCTCCTCAGACTCTAGAAGCACTTCGAGAGGAGTTGGTGGTTGCCTGGAATGATTACCTGATCAGAAGCATGCCTAGGCGCGTTGGAGAATGCGTAGCACATCAGGGTGCATCCACACATTATTAAAGGTCAAAGGGCTTTAGAGCAGTGGAATCATTTTGAAATTTTTATCATTTACTTATTATGCTTCATTAAGTACTTATACAAAATTTTATTAAAATAAAACCATTTAAACTGGGTGTTCGGATTTATATGTCACAATATATTCTGAAAGGACACTTCAAATGAAGAGGTTTGGTATAGCTACTTCTGGGGCTACAGTGTATTTAAAAAAAACAGTCAACTTTGACAGATAGTAAGTCAGTCGCTTTTACAAAAACTTTCCGTCAAAATGAGCTTCAAGTTCCACCTTATCCCATATCGTCTTCGGAATTTTTTTAAATATCGTGCATACGGGATACCCAAAATGCACTTTTTTCACTAAATTCAAACGGAATAACCTGTATGTTCACCTTACAAGTCTTCAATAAATTTATATCACACACCTTGATGTATAGTCAACGCCAAACAAAGTGGCGTGCACATCATCAAGGTGGGTGTGTTGAAAAATTTACATTGTTGCCAAACTTTTTGTAAAATAATAAAATTTATTATTTACATATCTAGGTTTATAAGCAATATTAACCTCAAATGAGAACAAAAATAATAGTATTATAAAATTATAGATCTGTACTTGCATAATCATTAAGTATGACAATTATTGATCAGATGACACTATGAAACTACCATATTTAATTGATAGCTTAAAGGTACTGAATAAAAATCCAAATGGGGTCCTCCAAATTTTATGCATGGTATTTATTTTACAGAATTCATACAGAAAAATGCATTCTAAAATTAGGTAAGCTACTGGTGTAAGCTTTTTCTGTACAATAAAGTTAGTCGGAGTTTCTTTCTTCAGCGCTGTCTGAATCTGAATCTTCATCACTCTCAAAGTTGATTGATAAAGGTTCGATGTCTGGTCGATCAAAAATTCGTTCTCTTTCATACCATTTAAAAATTTCTTGCTCAGTATGTCGAACACTATTTTTCCACATGTCTGGGGTAACCGTTTGTAGAGCCTCGTTCCACATATCCAAACAGTCTTTTTCACTGTTACCATCTCTACCAATATGTCTGTTATAGTAACCTTTTGCTATGCCCCAAATTAACTCAATGGGGTTAAATATACAATGGTAAGGAGGCAGACGAAGAACTTTGTGCCCATGTTGTTCCGCCAATTCATCAATCACGTATATTTTAGGTGGTTTGTTTCTAAAAAAGCAGTTATTTTAAGAATAGGAATAAACAAAAGAAATATAAACTGTCGACCAAAATATATATAATTAAGAAGCATTATGTACCGAGCAACAATACTCAATAGCTCTGTTTTAAACATTGTGTTTAAAAATGGTATGTTTTGATTTGTCAACCAGTCTTGGATATTTTTTTTTGTCCATGCATTGTTGGGCACTTTGTTCAATATCATGCTGTGATAAGGGGCGTTATCCAGTATAATCATAGATGGACTCCCCAATTTTTCTAATAACTGATGTTGAAACCATTTCAAAAAATTGTCCTGGTTCATCTCTCCATGGTAATCGCTCAATTTTGTTTTCGAAGAAAATATCGCTTCACTACCCTCAATAAACCCATTTTCATTTCCAGCATGTAATATAATGTATCTAAAATATATTAGTTTTAAATTTTATAGTGCAAATTGTGTAAAAGTACATACCTTTTACCATCTGTTTTAATAGCTTTCACGCTTTTTTGGTTTCCATTTTGCCAAGAGCGACGTATGGTCCCATTTTGAAATATCCAAGTTTCATCGAGGAAGACAAACTGGTATAAGGCCTCAACCTTGGCTTGATTGTATTGCCTTAGAAATTCCACCCTTTTCAAAGCTATACTTGGTAGTTCCATGAGCCCTCGTCGCGGATTGTCCTTAAGCCACTTAAATCCAAGATCTCTACGCAACCGCCTTAAAGACGTGGCACTACCATCAAATAATGCCCTATCTCTTAATCGAGACCATGAAGTTAGTATAGTAACTTGTTCTTCTGAAACCATGTGTAATATGACATTATAATTTAGTTAACAAATTAATGAAAATTTCTGATAAGTTATTATAATAAGATCTTACTTTTGTGATACATATTATAGATCACTTCTCGAATGGCACTTGTATCCAATGTCGCTGTGTTGGTTACACGTTTAATGTAACTCCGCTTTTTCTTGGGCGATTCTAAATTTGCATCACTTTTCATACCCTCGGAAATACGACTAACTGTCCTTAAACTAATTTTTAAAGCAGCAGCAACACGCTACAAAAAATGAAATAAAATTTCACTATTATTAATATACATTACATATAATTATTAGTAACCTACCTCTTGAACAGCATTTAAAGGCAACAAAGGCCCGTTGTTGTCCCTTTCTTGCTCAAAGTAGTGCATTAACGAGGCCACGAGTTCCTTACACCGACTATTTAACTGTTTGGGCATCTTTATATACCAAAATTGCCTTTATCTACTCGTAAAATGAATAATTTTGTTTTGAAACAAACAGTTGTTGATTTACAGTATGCGGGGCCAAAGGATTTATAAAGATTTGAAATGCCACAAATTGATTCAGTGTCAAAATTAATACAAATGTCAGTTCCCAGTTTAAATAAGTTTCAAGGTGACAATGTGTCAACGCTGCGAAATCGGTTTAGTGCGTTTACATGTCGATAAGTGATTGGAGCGTTTGCAAAACATTTTATTTCGCATAATGCGTCTAAATTTATCAGAAAGCAACTTATGTGATATTTTAATAACAATGTTTATATGACTATTAACCATAATAAGAGAGTAATGACCATTTTACAATTTATATATCACATTAATATGAAACTGCAATAGAGCAATTGTTTGTGATAGAAACCTAGGCATTAGGTCGGGGAATTTTTATCGTGATGACGTGCACGCCACTTTGTTTAGCGTTGACTATATATTTGGGTCTGCAGGTGCGTTTTTGTCCCATTTCTTACCTTACATCCCCGGTAATACGAAAAATGTCGCTCCGAAACCGTCACTGGTCCCAATTAATGAATTCCTGCGGCATTCTAAAATAATGTTCACGTGTATGTTCCTGCTACCAAGGAAGCCTGAATTACCAAATTTAAGAGCCTTAGAATTATGATATCCATCCTCTCGGCGACCAGTTTTACCCGAAAAAAAATCATTTTAATACGTAACGTCCTGATGTCCTTTTTGGGCCGTGGCAAGTATAAAATAACATTACTTAATAACGTGTTTTGGCACTGACATAATCGTATGCAGCTTTAAACTGGCTTCTCGATATTTAAGCATCATAATTACCCAAAAGCTGCCATTAGAGCTTATAGGGCAGGAAACTGTGTGCCTCTATCGACGCTAGTTTTGCGAAGATAATCTCAAAAATAAGGTCTTCCATTTTTCTAGGTAGGTACTTCGCTATACACATACTAGGTGATGAATAAAATGTGGATTAAAGGTCCATCAGTGGCACATGTATAGATCACTGCTTTGTGAAAGACCTATCCAACAAAATTACTTGTATACCAATAATCCTAGAAAGCGATATTACTGACCACTTCTGCACTATTTTACTGATATCTTCAAATGAAAAACATTCTAACATCCCTACCGTTAATAACAACCAAGAAAATTACAAATTTTTTGTCGACAATTCAAAACTAATATCAAATGTCAAACAAGAATCCTGGGAACAATTATACTCTATAAATAATATAGACAAAGCAACGGGACTGTTCATAGAGAAAATAAAAAAACTAATAGATATTAGTACCAATAAAAATTAGTCACAAAGAGAAAAGCAGAAATGCCTGGATTACCAAAGGATTAATAACATCGGCAATAGAAAAAGAAAGACTATATAATGTAATGAAACTAACGCCAACTACAGAGAATACCGACTGCTACAACCAATATAAAAATAAATTTATAGAGCTTGTAAGGCAAACCAAACGAAAACATTACCTAAATAAATTGAATAATAACTTAAATGATCCTAAGCGGCTTTGGACAACTATTGATGAGATTACTGGGAAAACAAAAAGTTAAAGAGTGTGTCACTGAGTTAAATACAACATCGGGAACAGTATTAAAAAATACTCAACAGATATGCGATGAATTTGTACAATTCTTTACTGACATAGGCGAAAATTTAGCAAGTAATATACAAGAAAATGTACAAAATACTCAGCCTCTAAAAAGAACTTTGAACTCATTTATTTTGGATAAAGTCGAACAATGTGAAGTATACACCACTGTTATGTCCTTAAAAAATCGGAAAAGTCGTGGGTTCGATGGTATTAAAAGCGAGCATTTGAAAATTATAGCCGAGAACATAACTGGCATATATCCCTCAATTTTAAAAAAAAGGTAATATAATACCGATACATAAATCAGGAACAAAAACAGATGTTAACAACTATAGACCAATATCAATAATATCCAGTGTAGCAAAGGTTTTTGAAAAAGTTTTATCTACTAGAATGATTCGATACCTCACAAAA